AATATATATATATATATATATATATATATATATATATATACGTAATATTAATAATACAAATATTTTATTAGTATTATTTTATATAATTGTTAAATATTAATAAATATTTCTATATATAATTATTTATAATAATAAGATAAAACAGTAATGATCATACAATTATAATGTATATACAATATATATGAAATGTGGACTATGCCATTATTTGTTGATACTGTTCATAAAACCTACCCGAGCCACATTTACATAGTCGTCATCAGAAAGTGTGTCCAGCATCTCGATGACAGAGGTTTTCATCAGCTTCAGGGTCAGTCCGCTGACACTACCGCTCCTACAAACACACAGAAATCACACATCAAATACATCACACGCACAGAACGCAAACGTTACTACATTACAACATTTATCTAACAAACCAGTCATGTCTCAAAACAGCACTGCACAGAAACACAAGCCCAAAACTGCTGTTGTCAAGCAGAAGCTGTTGCTAAGTGTCTCCCCCGTTCCGTCCATCAAAAGTAAATCGTAGACAGCACATTAAAAAGCGCCATCTTCACAAACAGAATGGAGACAGTCGATTTTCAAAAACAAAGTACATTTGAATTCTATGCTGCAAATTGGATTTATTAATAGCCTACAGCAGCTATTGAAAAAGCAATCACAGAGCACGAGTTCATGTGTAATTTGGCTTCCAGAGTTAGAAGGTTTAATAAAGCCCACTGGAAAAAAACCACTGGTGACAGCAGTATTGTCTCATGCTTCCAGTTATCACAATAAGATTAGTCTAAGATTGTCAGAAACGTTCAGCGCGATGGTGCTCTTGATTGGCATGAGATTGCTTTGGCAAAGCAACAGCTGCAATTGGTGTATTTTTTAATTAGATATCGGTATCAATTTAAGGTTATGGACGATTGCCAATGAGTGACAATTAACCTCCATTAAGCAGTTTTTCTTGAGAGGTTTACTTAAGAATATTAAAGCTTTTTTTTTTTTACGATTATGCACATAATGGATGTATGATTGAGGCAATCACTTATTTGTTAAACTATGCAGCAGTGTTACTAATGACTCTAAATGCCCAACACTTAAGGTTTGATAAATAAAACATTTCAAAGGAAGGAGGATTCACTAAACATGGCATTTAACAACAAAACGATTATTTTGATAATGCATTTCATTATTGCTAAAATGACAATTCTATGAACTCAAAAAAATGCAATGCATACCTTTCAATAACTGCATCTGTAAACACATCTGTTTATGTATGATGCAAAAGCGTTTTTTAGATTATGCATTTTAGAGGTCAGATAAGATCAGAGTCGCAGGACGCTTTAAATTCTCCACCAGCAGCTCAGATATCGGCAACAGTAATGCCATTTTTCATTGCATATAACCTCTAAGCAGTATGTTTGAAAATGATTAACAGTTGAAAACATTAGAAATTTTGAAAAGTAATCAAAAAGTAATCAAATGTAATCAGTTACATTACTTTAATAAAGTAATTAAAAAGTTACACTACTTATTACATTTTAAGTAGGGTAACTTGTAATCTGTAACCTATTACATTTCCAAAGTAACCTTCCCAACACTGCCTCTAAGTCATATTTGGGGGAACACGGTAGCATTTTGATGTTGAGGCATGAGGTTAATAAGATGGAATAATGTTCTTCTCAGCTGACAGGTGGCAGTAGAGCACCACACTAGTGTTAAGGCATCATAAACAACACATTTATCAACACAGATGACAGTGTGTGTTAATGCAGTGCATATGAGACACACAGAGAGACGGATGGAGAGTGTGTATGTGTGGTCAAGAGGATACTTACACGTCTACGATGATGACCATATCCTTTGGAGAAGAAGCTCCCTGAATGTACCTAGTAAAAGTACAAAACAAGACTAGTCAGTGCTGATATTAATTGATTTAAATTGCTAAAATAAAACAATAGGCCATAGAGGCTGTGAGTTACGGTGATTTTATCATGATTAAAGGCACAATATGAAGTCTTACCGATGGTTTCACCAGACTCAAGTGGTTAGTTGCTTTTATAAGACAGCATTAATAAAGTAATATAGTTCATAAGCCAATCCGAAGGTGGTTTACAGCTAAACAACACAGCAACTTAGCCTATGAAGTCTACTGTAACACATATGATACATGAAAAACCTGTCGTACACAATCTAATACATGCCTTCTGTCGTCTGATTGATAGTTTACACTATTTAACAAGTGAGACGTCTTTAAACCTTTTTTTTTTTTTTTTACAAACGTCCACCTTCAGCTCGTGCTTCACGTGACTTTTTGCTGTGAAATCTTTACTGATTTTATAAAGTAAATGTAAGAATAACTTTTCTATTGTTAGTAATATTTCAAGATGAACACTTACTAGACTGAAGAAACTTAGCTTTACTTGATTATCGGTACATCATTTTTTTTTTATTATGTTCAAATGTGAGTATCAAATATGATCATCATGCTTTTGAGGAATGTTTATTTGTTCCTTTCATTCATCACTGTATTGCATTGTATTATGTGTTTTGAATCTACAGAGCTTTGAATATATATATATATATATATATATATACAGTATATATATATATATATAGTGAAAACTGATATTTAAATGCATTTAATGTAAGTATCTGCTATACTGTTATAAAGATCTCATTGATTTACATTAGAATCAGAATTTCATCTTACTTTCTGGACATAAATATCAGCATCTCTACCAAATTGCATATTTTAACTGTTTGTGCATGTTTTTTTCCTTGAAAGTTTGAGCTCCATATTCTCCAATATCAAACTATATGATATATAAAAGCCTGATGTATCAAATTTGACACTCAACAAAAACATATATGATTAGATTTTCTTTTATATTTTGTCTACATATTCAAAAACTTCTGTTTAATAGAAATGGTTCACAAAAACTAAACATAAGTCCTATTTTCAAGCTCACAATCAAGCTCCTTTGACTTCAAGCTAACCGCAAAGTCCGAGAAGCACAGCATCAGGTGAAACGTCAGCCCGGACGGGCGTTTATTCTCCGGCTGACTCATCGGCCCGCTGACAAACACATTATGCAGTCCGCCCGTCTCTCTGCGTCTTTGTGCAAGCGCTAGCAGATCGTGCGGCGAGGAGAAACGCTTTGTCTCAAGCCATTTTTAGCATGGTGCTCAATCTGAGCACAGAAAGACAATGAGCGATGCATGGCACTTTTGTGTCACAGACGACAAAATAAATAAATAAACGGCCTAACGCCGCATCTGTCCACCGCTGATAGAGGCTGACATATAGAGAACACTAGTGAAGCCATTTTCACTTTTCCCCGTGCAATTAAAAATGCATTACACCTGACAATCAGAGCAAGAGATTGATGGACGTCATAAAGCTGTTGTCTTATAAAGACCTGGAAAACCACTTCGGCATTTGCATGGTGAGGTGATTGGCTGTAGTGCAGACAGGTAGTTAGCGCTTTGTGCTCGCAGGAGCAGACTGATCATCGAGGGTCTCTTCTATCGCGGTAATCAGGCTGAAGAGGCGACGTGAGAAGTGGTGCCAGGTGCCCGTGGCTCGTTGAGGAAGGGTTTTGAAGCATGGCTAAGCCCTGGAAAAATGGAAAAGCCCTGGCGAGCCACAACACAACACACAACTCTAACTAGCACACTCCACTGCAAACCTGTACGCTGAACTCTGGTCCTCATTTTGGAGGCCAATCCGGTTTTAATGCCACTGGAGAGTGCTAGATGTGGAAGGACTATTACAGTTGGCTGAAAGGACAAACACAGCAGAGCTGAAAGACTGTAGCTAACAATAACAATGCTCAGACATGAGTACAAAGCTTTTGGCAGTAGAAGTGGGTGAAATTAAATAAGTTCTTGATAATTGAAGATGCTACCTGAAAGGTCAGACCTTCTCCATGAGCACTGGCTATAAAAATAGTTTTTTGAAGCACAGTGGTACTACCTTTATCAGTTTAATTACAAAAGTCTTTCATTTGAATGAGTATAATGTGAGTGAGAAAAAAAGAGACAACTTTTATGCTTCTGATACACCAGTATGTATGTGAAAACCTCACAGAGGAAGTATGTGAACCCCTATTACATGTTTATGTTAAAAAAAAAAAAATTCAGTCATCATTTACTCGCCCTCATGTCGTTTCAAACCCATAGGACTTCTTTCTTCTAGAAGAACAATATGCGGAGAAGATATTTTGAAAAATGTTTTTTTTTTTGTCCATACAATGAATGTTATTTGGACCCCAGTACTGAAATATTTACAGTTTTTGGGTCAACTATACCTTTAAATTTGGGGACGATAATATAAAAAAAAAAAAAGTTTTTGAAAGACGTGTAAATCTCATATGCTCACTAAGGATGCATTTATGTGATCAAAATATAATTACAATTTTAAATAACTGTTTTCTACTTGAATATTTTTTTTAATTTAATTTATTCCTGTGATGCAGGAATTTTTCAGCATCATTACTCAAGTCTTCAGTGTCACATGATCCTTCAGAAATCATTCTAATATGCTGATTTGCTGCTCAAGAAACATTTTGCATAATTTTTTGAATATCTATCTATCTATCTATCTATCTATCTATCTATCTATCTATCTATCTATCTATCTGTCTGTCTACAAGTAAATGGCATGATGGCATATTCTACTATTATGACTCATTTATGGTGATTTTCCATATTTTTGAAGCATACAGCTGCAGTCCATATTCATTACAACTGCATATCCAACATCGACCAGCATAATTCTTAAAAAAAAAGTCTGTCCTTTTGTGCTTCATGGTAAAACGTCACACAGGTTTGGAACGATGTGAGAGTGTAGTTTAATTACTTAATTAAATTACAGTATGTGTATCTTATAGCTTGGCAGGCTACAGTTTCAAATTAGCATGCTGACATCAGTGCTCTCAAACAGCGAAGTACACAATATGACATCAGACACTGAAAATTTTTTTCTGTGCGAAACATAGAGGTACACTATATTTCTCCATATTTAAAATTCATCCCAGCTCTGTTTGCTTTTATGCAATCAATCCACAGCGCACTGGATTCAGTTTGTGCCATGTTTGCTCATGTTCTCACTTCTAATAATGCCGCCCTGTGTTTCTGCTCAAACAAACACACACTTCCATGAATACAGTTTCAGTAAACACATGAGGCATAATTGGAGGTTGAGAGGAGCGCATTAGGAACAACGATAAAACTCCAATAAAAAACATAATGAAATTTTCCAAGCCTAAAAGACGCGCATGCCTCATAAATACCGCATATGACGAAAAATAAATGGACTAAATGAAGGAATTGAGTTTGCTTAGGATTTAATGTGTGGACTCAAAAAAATAAAGGCCTGTTCATGTTGTGTAAATATTCGGTATGAAAAACATACACAAAAAGATGGAGGCTAGATACTTTTTTTAATGTTTAGATAATTAATAAACTGTGTGTGTGTATATTATGTGTGTTTTATTTAATCTATTCTATATATATATATGAAAAACAGAAATGTTAAAAATAAAAATTAAATAAATATATTAAAATGTATTTTTATTTAAATAAATTTTAAATAATTTATTTATTTTTATATTACATTTATTAATAATATTAAACTAAATTTGTGTCTAATTAATGTGATAAATTAATAAATATTTTTTTTGTCAACTACAATTTGAAGATGTATAGTACAGCTATGCCATAAGTGTGAATGCACCTTAAAATCAACAAAATCAAAATTGATTCATTAATTTTTTTTATTAATTCTCATATAGAGGCTTTTCAGGATTCAGTCACTTTCAGATGGATAAAAAAATTTTTTTGGGTGGAAAACCCAGTTTTACTTGGAAAAAAGTTGCAACAAAAAAAGTTAAATATGTTGTTGACTTTAAAAGAAATGCTGACAAAAACATGACAATCTCTTTGTTCGGACAGTAAAAGGTACGATTAATGCCAACATATCTAGGAGTCCATTAAAGGCGGGCAACAGATCTGAGCGTGTCAGTATCATTTACCATCACTCTAAGGACTCTGTTTCTTTTGACAATGGTATTTTTCACACTCTAGTCTATATTCATCTCCACTTTGTGACATTGACGTTCCTGATCTGTGCTCAGCTCACTGTACCATCCGTGGATCAGCCTGATGGATCCAGATGTGCAGTTTCTGCATGGATTGCACTCCGTAATTACCCCTCCACCGAAGCCCAGCGATGCCATTCCTTCCCAGTCATTACCCACACTCCCCAGCGCCCCGGCCAGGTGACATGCAGATGGGCCATCACAAACCAGGTCCCCCGGTCCACCCGCTTACCCACTAAACACACACGCTCAAGAAGGACTATCAGCAGCACGGTCATCCAGAGCATCTGCTGCGGCACCACCAAACCTTTGGACACACCTACTCAATCTTCATTATTCTAAAATTATCGGAAATATAAATAATGAAGCCATCCCAGCTATGAAAAACACGATGGAGTATGAGAATTAGTGACCAAACTCTCTTATATTTGAGTTTTTTCTCTAGATTCCAGCTCAGATTGTAGGTGTAGGGATTGTAGGTGGGGGGAGTGAATGTACAGCGCTCTCTCCCACCTTCAATACCACGACTGAGATGCCCTTGAGCAAGGCACCGAACCCCCAACTGCTCCCCAGGCGCCGCAGCATAAATGGCTGCCCACTGCTCCGGGTGTGTGTTCACGGTGTGTGTGTGTTCACTGCTGTGTGTGTGCACTTTGGATGGGTTAAATGCAGAGCACTAATTCCTAGTATGGGTCACCATACTTGGCCACATGTCACTTCACTTCACTCTGCTTCATGAGGTGCATCATGTGATGCTTTTAAACAGGACGAAACATGTATGATGA